CCTCCTTCCCCCCTCACCTTACACTTTTGCGACATTTCTTGCTTTACTACCTTAACTACTTAGATGTTTCCTAGGACTCTTCCTCACTTTCAATCTACTCTTTCGCACCTCACCTTACAACCAAACCTGCCCAAGAACAATATTTACATCTGAGAATAATTAAACTGGTGAACCTGTTGCCTTTCTGTCCAGAGCAGTCCACAACACCTACACCAGAGAGGACCAAGGTAAGCCACAGGAGTTTGGGGGCTGAATTAGAACTGTCTCCAACACCTTATGTGTAAGTGCAGCATTATGATGTGCACAGGGACTATGAAGACAAGACCACCTGTGTGTGCATACTGGGTCTGTCACTATTGGGCTACATGATCATGGGAACAATACTTAAGTCACTCTTTGTCTCACTTCCCTAATGTAAGAAGAAAATGATTAATAATACCCTAATAGGGTTACTTGAGAAGATGATGACTTAATACATGTAAGGCACTAGCAACGCTATTGGTGCATGATAAATGGTCTATGTATTAGCTATTCTACATGCTATGGTGTTTCAAAAAAGCAAGATTTGAATCCACTTTGTTTATTAAACTCTCATAGCTAAAATCATGCTTAGCATATAGATGCACAATAATAAGTACTTGTTGAATGAATAAGAAACATTTTGTTTTAAGAACACAAGAAGTAGAAAAGCACTATTTAAATTAGAAAGGAGAAAAACAGAGATAATTAAATGTCCTAGTCCTCCTCCTCTACTTTCTCAAGAGAAGTCCTCCCCCACAGATGTTCTCTTAGTTGTACTGAAAGGTATTTATCAGCATTCATTGAGAATGTCTCCAGGAGCAGCTGTATGAAAGTCTCTGGTATGTTTCAGGAGCTAAGAGGAGACGGTCTCTATAAACCTCACTATTTAAGGCGTGGTTCCCTGACTGGCAACACCAGCATCACATCGGAGATCTTTGTTCAAATGTTGGTCAGCAGCCCCAGCCACACCTGCTCCATCAGCTTCTGCAGTCTGGAAAGATCCCCAGGTGAACAACATTCACACTCAAGTCTGAGAAGTACTACTCTAGGTCACTCTAATGAAAAAACACAGGTTTCAGAAGGATCAGGGTTCCAATCTAAGTTTTGAAACTTTATTATGGTTATGACCTGGAGCAAGCTGATAAATATCCCATCTTCCTCATCTGTAAAATTCAAGTAGTAATATTAGTTACCTCAAAGAGTGGCTATGAGGATAAAATGAAAATCCATATGCTCCATTTGGATTGGTAGACTATAAAGAAAACAGGATGTGCCCAATAAATGTTAGCTGTTGTTACTGCTGAAGTCCCATCTCTACTAGACTAGAGTATAAGGAAGAGATTTTTCCCTGCTAAGGAAATAGCTGGCTTTGTTTTTCTTCCTACTTTAAATTACACAGTGAGTTTCCCTTCAACATCTGTATCAAATTTAAGATCTCCTAAAAAGAAAAATTACTTCTTAAATTTCTATTACACTGACTTGATTTCCAATTCACATTCTATTCTCTCTGGTTTTGATTTTAATTGTGTATAGGAATAAGTGAGTACATGAATGAGTGACTGAATGGACAAATAATGTTAAGTCTAAACCCAAAACCAATCCTTAGGGAATACTATTCAAAACGGTTGGAAATTCAACAGGGGGTTCAGCCCACACACTTTAAAATTATTACACCTTACTGAAGTAGCCTACAAATTTAATTTTAACCTATAAAAAAGAATTTTTTAAATCATAAATTAAAAATTTCTTATAAATAAAACCACCACAGATATTTGAAATCATATAAAGAATGGTGAAAGGAATACTTAACGTGTATGAACAATACATTCTACATGAAAAGGCACAATTATTTGTTTTCAAGCAATGTTTGCAGATATGGAATGCTTTATGAATGATTACTTTAAAGCATCAAATAAAGAATACATTTTTCTTAGATTCCAATTAAAACATTAGAGGTAGACTAAAATTAAAGGAAGAAAACACATAAAGAAAGCAAATTATTTCCCATCCTTAAAAGGTTTCTTATCAGTAACAAATGGTAACTAAGAGGATGGTATAAATTGCTTTCTTTCCTTCTCCAGAGTGTAGGACTCGGTATTGCTCTAGGAATGTCAGAATTTGATCTGCCTACCTAAGCAACTTAGAAAATTCAATCAGAAATCAGACTTATCAATTATAATTATCAGGACCAGCAGTTAGTGTAATGGCTATGTCACTGGACTCCCACATAGTCAACCACGGTTCGCGTCCTGGACCTGGTGGCTTAAACTCATGCCAGGCGCGTGTGCATGCCCAAGATCCCGAGAGGAGAATGGAGAAGGGACTGCAGCATGGCCATCCCCCCGGGGGTTGATTTTTCACTTTCTGTCTGTCTGTCTCTTTCTGGTGAGCACATGTGCCCTATAGCAAAAACCTCTCCAAAAAAAAAAAAAAACCAAAAAACAAACCTATAATGAACATAAACTAAAATATCCGTAAAGTACAACAGAAAAACAACCTAACTAAAAATGAAAGACAGAACTGAATAGATGTTTTTCCAAAAAAGATATACAAATGGCTAATAAGCACTTGAAAAGATGCTCCATATCACTCATTAGGGGACTAATGACTACAATCAGATACCACTCATGAGCATGGTATTATGACAAAAACAGAAACAAAGACTTGGTGAAGAGGTACAGAAATTGGGAGTCTCTGGTTTTACTTTTCACTACTATCTGTTTCAGAAAACAGTGCTGGAAGTAAAATGTTTTTAAACACCCATTAGCATGGATCATAAAATCAACTTGCGGGGTTAAATCAGTCTTAAAAGTAAAATAGATGAAAAACTTTCAAGAGATATCTGTACACCTAGTTCACAGCAGCATTATTCCCAATAGCCAAAGGAAGACGCAACCTTCAGTATCTACTCATAAATGAATAAACGACATGTGGTTCATACTTACAAAGGAATATTATTCCTTTTTAAGAAAGAAAGGAAATCCCAGTACACGCTACAATATGGATGAACCTTCAAGACATTATGCTATGTGAAGTAAGCCGGTCAAAAAAGGACAAACATTGTGATTCCTCTGATAAGAGGTTGCAAGAACAGTCAAATTCACAGACAGAAAGAATGATAGATATCAGGGGATGGGCAAATAGATGTCTATGCTCAGTTGGGAAAGATGAGCCTTATTCCTTTTTTCCCTTTAATAAAAGAAAAACCAACCTCTTTCTATTATATAAAGACTCCCAAATTTAAAGACTGAGGTAGAAATTCAGAACTGTATAGTTGGGGAGAGGAGTTGAAGAAGATAGAAGAGAATACAAAACAAAGCAAAACAAAACACACAAAAAAAAACCTTGTTTAGGTGTCTCTTCCTCCTTTTTAGTCTCCTCCTCCTCTAAGTTAGGACTTTCGCGGGAAGAGCTGTCTTGTTGGCTAGAGCTTTTCAATAGTACAGGATCGATCTGTGCTTTCAGGAGTGCAAGAGTCTCAGCCAGCTCGTTTCGATTTCTAAACAAGGGAAAAATAAGACAACGTGAAAATCTTCTAAAGAACTTTCTAAATAATATCTATTGGAAATTGAAATGAAAAGAGGAAAAATACATTAAGAACATTGAAAACACTGGTACAGCTAGACCTAATTACCTGAATTAAAAATAGTGTTAAGGAAGAATACATATTAAAATATACTACTAGCAAAGGATGAATAGTTAAGATTTTTCTCTTTGTTGAATAGAATGGTAGAGATCTCTTTGGATGAAAAGTAAAGTAGAAACATGTTTAAACAAAAATTGAAGTTTCATAGCTTTTTTTTTTTTTTTTGAGGGGTTTTTGCTATAGGGCGCGTGCGCTCGCCAGACAGACAGAGAGACAGAAAGCGAGAAATCACCCCCCAGGGTGTATGGTCATGCCGCAGTCCCTTCTCCTCCATTCTCCTCTCGGGATCTTGGGCATGCACGCACACGTGCCCGGCGTGACTTCAAGCCACCAGGTCTAGGACGCGAACCGCGGTCGACTACGTGGGAGTCCAGCGACATAGCCATTACGCTAACTGCTGGTTCCCCCAAGTTTCATAGCTTTTAAATGTACTATGCAATTACAGGGCTGGCAGGTGGTGTGATGGTTAAGGCAGATGGACTCCCTCGTGGCTGACTGTGGTTTGAGTCTTAGACCTGGCAGCTTGTTTTCTCACTTTCCTTCTCTCTCTCTCCCTGCCTCTCTCTGGTCAACTTTAAAAAAATAAAATAATGATAATGAATACAATTAAAGAAAATTCGTTAAAAAAAAAACCTATGCAATCTCTAGGGAGATAAAACCAACATAAAACTTGAATGAAGAACTTTATTTTTTAGCAAAATGATTCAAGTTCATGATATATTTGGAAATAAGAACTCTTTTTGACCTTTGGAGTTAATAGTACTTGATACTGTTATAAAATTATGATCCAGAACTTCCTAAATAATTATGGCAAATAGACCTACCAACAGCTCAAAAACCTAAGTTTAGATTGCTGACGTTTTTTCCATCAATTATGCTTTATCACTACAAGAATGGAATTCAGCTTGATTTTAAAATAGCAGAACATCCCACATAAATAAGATTCTAATCCATAAATTCTACATGTTATTATCAAAAGCAGAGGTTTATTATGCCCAATTTAAATGCTACTTACAAACAAGAAATATTTGTATGTTTCTCCTGTTTAAAACAAGCAATCAAGAATGAAGACAAAAATTAAGCCCTGAACTGAAAACTGAGAAACTTAATTCTAGATCTGCTACCAAGCTAGCTGCACATCATTCTCCCATTTGTATTCTCCGAGTAGAGTACGCTCCTCTAATGCAATGTGGTTGGTTGACATTAGGATGAAACTACTTATTTTCTCATCCGTCATGACACGTCTCCTGTGCCCTCCCCCATCCAACCTCTGTGTCAACTAGACTTCACTGCCTGAGAGAGGGACTCGCCTTATTAAGTAGGCTGTAACAAAATAATGAATGAATAGAATCCTTCTTACTGGATGATGATGTGCCCCCAAACAAGTCATATCTTCATGGTGCTGATGAACTCAATAGTAGATCCAGAACTCAGTTTCTCAATGGACATTTTTCAGAAATTAAAAATGATAACAATTTATTGTGTATGGGAATGAATGCACATTTGTACATATCAGATGAGTGTACACAACAAAATGAATGGTCTTGAATTTTTAATTATCTAATAGAAGGTCAAACTAGATGTTTTCTCAAACTCCTAATACTGTCTCCATTTTACAGAAAGAAAAGTTAGGACCCAAAGACTTTATTTTTGGCAAAGATTGTCACTTTGCCAGAATGCCACTCGCTGCAGCTGCCATTTGGTCCACAGGTGGCCATGTGAGAGCTTTAAGCTCTAGGACATAGGGCTGGTCCTACACTATCCCTATCATGAAAAGCTTCAAAACCTAAGACAGCCAGCCAATATTGCTGGGAAAATCCATTTCAGTCATTTCCACTACTCAAAGTGACAAAGGAATTTAGCAGTAACATTTACTGAAGAACCACTCCCTAAAGGCTTTTAACCTGATTACGGTGTTTAACACAAGCCTAATGTAGTTATTATCATACGAGCACAGAAAACTATCCAGCTTTGGGTTTCTTTTGACCCGACAATTATATTAAATGTGCTAGAAAAAAAATTTTAAAACCTAAATTTGAACTAATTAGAGGTTAAATATGAAATACTCAAATCATATCCAAGTATCTTAACTATTTCTCTCTCACTTGCTTTCCTGTCTCCAAACCATTTCTCCCATCAGTCATATTAAATCGGACATATCCCTCCAAAATACCACGCTATCTCTGGATGGTAAATGATTGTTATTTCTGCTTTTGTAGTCTGGAATGTGTTCTCCATGGCTAACTCCAATTACTCCTTCAGAGAAAAGCACAGAATGGATTAAAAAATAAATCTGGTGCTACATGTAGAAAAAGACATTCAGCCATAAAAAAGAATGAAGTATTGATTACACTACATGGATGAACCTTGTAACATTATGCTATCTGGAAGTATGTAAGTATAAAAGACCATATAATCTATGATTCTAGATGAAAAGTACAGAATGGGTAAACTATAGAAATAGAAAGAAGAAGACAGTGGCTTGGAAAAGAATGCCACCCTGAAAAGGTTGAACAATAACAGAACTCTAGATACATCCAGCATGGAGTGCTGATTGGATATGCTGGCAGAGTGAAAGAAGAGTCAAGGATGTGCCTGGAGGGACCGGCAGTGGCAGTAATTCAATACTGGACCAACCCAGGAGGGCCCTGAGTTCATGTCTGCAGATCTCTCTGTACACATGAGGCACATGCATGTGTGGCCTGTGACTTGGACTGGCTAAGGCTGAGTGTGACTCATGGTGCAAAAACCCTTGGGGATGCCTGCCTTACTTTCCTTTCCACCAAAATAGAAATCATTTTTTTTTTTAGAATTATCTAACTTAATTAATTAATTAATTCATTCATTCATTCATTTAATTTGACCAGAGAGAGACAGAGAAAGAATGAGAGAGAGAGAAAGAGAGAGAGAAAGGAAGAAAGCAAGCCACCAGGTTCAGGACTTGAACTGTGGTCGGCCATGTGGGAGTGTCCAGCGCCTTAACCACCATGCCACCTGTTGGTTCCCCAGAAATAAAATTTTAAACAATTAAAAAGGATGTATCCTAGGGACCAGCAGATGGCATAATGGCTACATACCTAGACTCCCATGTAATCAACAGCAGTTCGAGTCCTGGACCCAGTGGCTTAAAATCACCCTGGGAGTGTGTGCATGCATGCCCAGGATCCCAAGGAGGGACTGTGGTGTGGCCATGGCCATTCTCCCTGGGGGGTGATTTCTCTCTTTCTATCTCTCTGTCTTACTGGCAAGCACATGCACCCTATAGAAAAAAACCTTTCCAAAAAATTTAAAAAAAAAAGGATGTACCCTAAGGTTCTGGACCCAAGAAACTGAAACGATTGGCTGCTATTAACTGAAATGAGATAAATAAGTTGAAATGTTTTAGACAGACTGTCTTATTTTGACTTCACCAGATTTTAAATCAACAATTGTATCTTATTATCTGTACCTTTAATCTAGACCTCTGTTAAATGGGCATATTATCCTAACAATTTTCTTAAAGAATTATTTACTCAATTTTTTATTTATTCATTCATTTAATTTGACCAGAGAGGGGGGGAGTGAGAAAGCAAGCCACCAGGGCTGGTTCTTGAACCCTGGTCAGCCATGTGGGAGCATCCAGCACCTTAACCACCATGCCACTTGCTAGTCCCTTATCCTAACAATTTTATTCTGTAATGTTTTCTCCCAGTCTGTGGGTTGTTTGGAGTTTGAGTTAATGGCAATTGTTAAGCCTTTCAGAAGCAATAAAACTGAATGATTGACCATGGTTCAAGTCCCAGACCTAGCAGCTTGCTTTTTCTCTCTCTTGTCAAACTGAATAACAATAATAAAGAAAATTAAATAAATAATTCTTAAAAAAAAAAAAAAAAGCAATTGAACTGAGACTCCAATTCAATAAAAATAAACAGACAAAACAAAACAAAGTCAAGAGTAGGGATCATCTTTTGCCAAGTGGGAAACAAGTGCTTCCATAACACCCTGGGATGACCTCCATTCACAGACCACGTAACACTGGTCTGATAATATCACATACTATTTCTCTGCATCTTTCTCCCAGAACCCTAAGGAAAACTCAAGAAATGGGACAATATCTTTACATCTGCAGAGCATAGTACAGTATAAACATAGCAATTCTTTTGTAAATAATTGTATGATCTCAGAGATCAGCAATCATATTATAGCTTTTCTTGTATAAACTCCAAATTACTGAGGAGACAAAACACTTGGGTCGACCCATGGTGTGGGTAAGAGGGCTGGATCCCACATGAGTGACTACGTGGTTTGAAAATGGATCAGGCATGTGTGCTGCATGCCTGAAATCCCAAAGGGATGAGAAAGACTTTCAGCAAGACCATAACCCACGGTGTGGCCTCACTTTTGTGTGCCTTCTGTCTCTAACTAGCAAAAGCATGTGTTCTCTGTCAAAAATTAAAAAAAAAAAAAAAAAAAAGAATAGCCATCATCAAACCAGAAAATTAAAAATGTCACAAATTTTTATAGGCGCAAAAAAAAAAAAAAAAAAGAAGGGAGGGATAGTTAGTAATACTAACCAATAAGTAAAATTATTAAGAAATTAACACTCATGACCAAGTAGTTTGTTCTAGGCTTACACCTAATGTGACAGGAATTAGTTCATATAATCCTAAGATAACTGAATTAATAGATAAGAACTTACTCCCATCCTTTTTTTTTTGGAGAGGTTTTCGCTATAGGGCGCGTGCGCTCGCCAGACAGACAGAGACATAGAGACAGAAAGTGAGAAATCACTCCCCAGGGGGGATGGTCACGCTGCAATCCTTTCTCCTCCATTCTCCCCTTGGGATCTTGGGCACGCACGCACATGCGCCCGGTGTGAGTTCTAAGCCACCGGGTCAGGACGCGAACCGCGGTCGACTACATGGGAGTCCAGTGACATAGCCATTACGCTAACTGCTAGTTCCCTCCTATCCTTTTTTTTGAAGAGGTTTTCCTGTTAGGGTACATGTGCTTGCCAGAGAGAGACAGAGACAGTGAGAAGAAAAGTGAGAAATCACCCCCCAGAGGGGATGGCCACACTGCCATCCCTTTCTCCTTCCAGATTTTGGGCACACATGCACACGCAACTGTCTTGAGTTTCAAGCCACAGGGTGCAGGACTCGAACCATGGTGAACCATGTGAGAGTCTGGCGACATAACTGCTACACCATCTCCCTGGTCCCAAATGAGAAAGCAAGCCACCAGGTCTGGTAATTGAACAAGGTCAGTAATGTGGGAGTCCAGCGCCTCAATCACCATGCCATCTGGTGGCCCCCCCACTTACATCTTATAGATGAGGAAACAGAGTTCACATCGAGAGGCAGGGTAACCTGCTGAGGTCACAGCTAATACAATCCAATAGAAATAAATTCTAGATTGTCTGACTTTAGAGTGCTGTGGTTTTTGTTTGTTTGCTTTGTTTCGTTTTTGGCACCATAGGGTACAACGCAATTGTCAGACAGAGGGAAAACGAGAAAATCACTGGGCATTCCCCGCCACCACCATCCCAGGGATGGCCATGCCAGAATCCCTTCTCCTGCTTTATCCTCTCAGGATTTGGGGCACAGGGAGACATGTACCCAGCGTGATTTTCAAGCCACAGGGTCTGGGACTTAAACTGCAGTTATCGAAGTGGGAGTCCAGCATCTTAAGTACCATGCCACCTAGTTCACCATTTCTAACAAATGCATACACTACTACTAACATAAGGAATATTACTACCATTCAAGGAAATTTTCTTCTTTTTCTTCCTACTCAATCCTTCTCACCCACCAAAGAAAGAAATTAGTTTTGATGTTTATAACCATAGATTAAGAATAAAGGTAAGAAACCAGCAGATGGCATACTGGTCACATTGCTGGACTTACACGTGGCTGACTGTGGTTCAAGTCCTGGACCTGATGGCTTGAAACTCACACTGAGTGTTTATGTATGCATGCCCAAAATCCCGAGAGGAGACTGGAGGAAAAGGAATTGTGCCATGGCCATCCCCCCTCCAGGGGTGGTGTGTGTGATTTCTCACTTTCTATCTGTCTCTGGCAAGTGCACATGCTCTATAGCAAAAATCTCTCTTCATAAAAACAATAAAGGTATAAAGAACATTCTTATATGAAGTTTTTTGTAAATGTATTTTCATTTCTCCAATGTGATATAGGTGTGAAATTAATAGGTATGGGTAATGAGTAGTTAACCTATGAGGAAACTGGAAAACATTTCCCAAAGTGGTTATACAATTTTACATTCCCATCAGCAAGGTGGGAGAGTTTCAGTTGGTTCACATCCTTGCTAACATTTAGTATGGTAAGTCATTTTTCATTTCAGTCATTCCAGTGGAGGTCAAGTAGACCTTGGGAATGCTCTAATAAAAAATGATGCTAAACACTTTTTCATGAAAACTTTGGCCATATGTACATGTTCTTTATGAAGTTAACTCCTCACCAGTCTACATGAAGTTCTGGCTTCCTTGGTAGACGTGATGGTTAATACTAGGTGTCACCTTGACTGGATGAAGGAATACTGAGGACTGGCACATCATTATTTCTAAGTGTGTCTGGAGGGTGTTTTTAAAGGAGATTGGCCTGTGACTTAGTGGATTAAGATCCACCTCAATCTGGGCAGGAATCATTTAATCAAAAGGCAGTCCCAAGAGAACAAAAAAGGTAGAGGAAGAACAATTGCCCCCACCCTTTTCTCTTTCAGCTGGAGCTGAGCCAATCTTTTACATCTGCCCTTGGACAGCCAAACTCAAGGCTCTCCAGTCTTTGGACTGTAGGATTCACACCAGCAACCCCTGTGGTTTTCAGTTCTAAGGCCTTTGGCAACAACAGAAAATATACTAAGTCAAGATGCACTGGCAAAATTAAGATAAGTAGCAATAAACAGATAATGCTTAATAGACAATTATAAATTTGAGCTAAGAACCCAACAGTGCTTGCATTTTGTTTCTAACAGTGTAGTTGTCTGTGCATATAATTTGTACATGCTCATATTCTGGCTTCCGGAAGTACAAGATATATATCCTAATATGGATTTAACTGATAAATACGTTCACTATTTGACAAATAATGAAGTGCCTACTCTGGGTAGTGTGCTGGGCACTAGACTAGGCCTTGGAAATTCCCCAAATACACAAAAAAAGGAGCACCCTTGCCTCATAGATCTCATTCTAGTAGAGATCAATTAATAAACAAGCAAATAGATGTAAAAAATACCTGACAATGCACTTCCATGAAGAGCCATCTTGATCATCCTGTTCTTCTATGTACATTCTGACATTGTGATCTTGGTCCAACTGATACCAGTACATGAGGCCATCTTTGTCTCGTCCAATAGGCTGGAGACGCATATTATCAGCATCTTCCTCATTAATAATATTCTTGAATTTGAGATTGTCATCAAACTGACACTCACATAGGTACTGAAAAATAGTCATTAACATGGCTTAAAATATTTCACGAAATGTTTCTCCATCACAATAAATAGGATACAAGCACAGGATTAATTTAGACAGAAGCCAGCAGAATATATATCAGTTTAACCATTGTTTACTATGCTCTTCCCCCCTTTGTATAGCATATTTAGGATAACCAACTTAAAAAGATGAAATTCAAATTAACATTTTCTTTCTAATGTTACACGTTCACAAGTTTATCATAGCCACTGACACACAAATAAAATTATACATAAAATGAGCCTGTTTGGGGACCAGCAAGTGGTGTAATGGTTATGTCACTGGACTCCCATGTGGCCGACAGCAATCTGAGTCCCGGACTCGCGGCTTGAAATTCATACCAGTGTGTGCCCAAAATCCAGAGAGAAGAATGGAGGAGAGGGGACTGCATCATGGCCATCTTCCCAGGGCATTATTTCTACTTTCTGTCTGTCTTTCTGTCTCTCCGGTGAGCACACATGCCCTATAACAGAAACATCACTAAAATAAAATAAAATAAAATTAACCTATTTGTTAAAAATTCCCAAATTTCCTAATATAAATTTTAAAAAGAATTATTTATTCATTTGTTTTAATTTGACTAGAGAGAGGGACACAGAGAGGGAAAGTAAGAAAACAAGCAGTCAGGTCTGGGACTTGAATCACAGTCAACCATGTGGGAGTCCAGGGCCTTAACCAACACACTACTTACTGGCTCCTAGTATAAATTTTTAAAAATTTTTACTTATTTATTTTAAAAATTTTAGAATTAGGGACCAGTAGTTAGCTTAATGGCTATGTCGCTGGACTCCCATGTAGTCGACCGCGGTTCAAGTCCCGGACCTGGTGGCTTAAACTCACACTGGGCGTGTGTGTGTGAGTGCCCAAGATCCCAAGAGGAGAATGGAAGAGAAGGGACTGTGGCGTTGCCATCTCCCCTGGGGGGTGATTTCTCGCTTTCTGTCTCTCTGTTTCTCTTTGTCTTTCTGGTGAGCGCATGAGCCCTATAGCAAAAACCTCTAAAAAAAAAAAAAAATTTTAGAATTAAATTGTTTTTAAAATGATAAACATACATGCATTTATGATGAACAACATGGTACTTTGGTACATGGATAAATAAAAGCTAGTTAACACATCTATTACCTCATATACTCATTATTTTTTGTGGAGAGCATATTGAATATCTATTCTCTTAGCAATTTTCAAACATGCGATATATTGTTATTAACAACTGTCACCATGTTGTATAATAGCTCTCCTGAGCCAGTATCTCTTATTGAACTAATTTTTTTAAGAATTATTTAGTTTTATTTATTATTATTATTTCTTAAATTTTGGCCACAGAGAGAGAGAAAGGGAAAGTGAAAAACCAAGCCGCCAGATCCAGGACTAGAACCATGGCCAGCCACGTGGGAGTCCAGTGCCCATAACCGTCACACCACCTGCTGGCCCCCAAACTGAATTTCTCTAGCTTTGACCAATGTGTTCCCAATCAACCCTCATCCCCTGGTAACCACGAGTAAATGAGATCATGGAGCATATTCTACTTTACTCAATATAACGTGTTCTAATTTTATCTACGTTGTCACAAGTTCTAAGATTTCCAATCAATAAGAACGAAGGAAGGAGAGAAGGAAGGAAGGGAGAAAGAAAAAGAAAGAGTAGGAGAGAGAAGAGGTATATCAGGGTATCACCATGCCACCATCCTCCTGCCCCACTTCTCATTCAGCTTCGGTGCCCAGTCTGCTTCGGTTGCTATGGTAACCAAATCTGGGCCTCCTCTGTTGTCCCAGTGTCATGCAGCCATACCTAGCTGCTTGTGCCACCACTGGTAGGCCAAGATTTCCTCCATTTCAAAGGCTGACTAGTATTCCATTGTGTATATATGCTATATTTTCTTAGTCCATTGGATGGACACTTAGGCTGGTCTCATATTTTGGCTATTAAGAATAATGCTGAAGTGGGACCAGCAGTTAGTATAATGGCTATGTCGCTGGACTCCCATGTAGTCAACCGTGGTTCGAATCCCGGACCCCGTGGCTTAAACTCACGCCGGCCAGATGTACGTGCATGCTCAAGATCTTCAGAGGAGAAAAGAGGAGAAGGGATTGTGGCGGGGTCATCCCTCCAGGGGGGTGATTTTTTGCTTTCTCTCTGTCCTTCTGGCGAGCGCACATGCCCTATAGCAAAAACCTCTCCAAAAAAAAAAAAAAAGAATAATGCTGAAGTGAACATGGGAGTACAGATCTCTCACTGAAATACTGATTGGGGGGCCACCAGGTGGCATGGTGCTTGAGATACTGATTCCCACATGGGCAACCGCACTTCGAATCCCAGACCTGGCGGCTTCAATAATCATGCCAGGCACATGTGTGAGCGTCCATGAGAGGAAAATGGAGGGGAAGGGACATTGCAGCATGGCCATGGCCCCTGGGGGGTGATTTCTCGCTTCTATCTCTCTATGGCAATGCACACACCTTATACCAAAAAAAGTCTCAAAAAAAAAAAAAAAACCATCCAAGAATTTAAGACCTCAGTGAGCACATCGGGGGCCACCTAAATTATGTTTATTCAAGCTACAAGTCAGTTACCCACAGATATTTTGGTTTAGAATAAAACTATTTTTTTGGGTTTACTCATAGGTATTTTATTTTTTTTAATTTTTATTTTTTTGAGAGGTTTTTGCTATAGGACAGACAGAAAGAGACATAGAGACAGAAAGCGAGAAATCACCCCCTGGGGGGATGGTCACGCCACAATCCCTTCTCCTCCATTCTCCTCTCGGGATCTTGGGTATGCATGCACACGCGCCCGGCGTGAGATTTAAGCCACCGGGTCCGGGATGCGAACCACGGTCGACTATGTGGGAGTCCAGCGACATAGCCATTACGCTAACTGCTAGTTCCCAAGTGTTTTATTTTTTAATAGAATAAATCTCTTTCAATATTTAAAGTTTTAGGGACTAACAGATGGCGTAATGGTCACGTTGTTGGACTCCTAAAAGGCTGACTACAGTTTGAGTCGCAGACCTGGAGGTTAAAACTCATGCCGTATGTGTGTGTGTGTGTGTGTGTGCGCGCGTTAAGTGCCTAAAATCCTGAGAGGATAATGGATTCGAGACTGTGCCATGGCCATCTTCCCTAGGAGGTGATTTCTTACTGTCTACCTCTCTGTCTCTGTCTCTTCAGAGACTACACCTGCCCTATAGCAAAAATCACTTAAAAAAATAGATAAATAAGAGTTTTATTATTTCTGTTGACAAACCACAAGGAATAATCTTACATAGGGATCATAAGCTGGTCTAAGGTCAGGTAAATCTCCATAACACACCTTAAAATCTGACCTTATTACTTTCGACGTTTTTAGAAAAGTATTTAGGAAGGCCAGAAGGTAGCACAGAGGTAGCTGAATACTACATTGCTGACTTCGTTGTTTGAGTCTAGTACCTGGTGGCTTGGCCATGTGTGAGTGTGTGCCCAAAATCTCAAGAGGACAATGGAGGAGAAGAGACTATGGTATGTCCATCCTCCCATGGGGTGATTTCTCACTTTCTCTCTCTGACTCTCTTTGGTGAGTACACACGCTCTATAGCAAAAAACAAAAAAGAATTTGTGGGTCTTGCCAAATTTCATGTATGCTTAACAGCAATTAACATCTAACAACAAAATGGCAGCTACTTTATAGTCCTACCCTACCTTAAAAAAAAAAGCCAAGGGACCAGCAGGTGGCATGGTGGTTAAGGTGCTTAACTCCCACCTGGCCGATCACGGTCTGAGTCTTGAACCTGGTGGCTCGAAAATCAATCTGTGTATGTGTGTGTGTGTGTGTGTGTGTGTGTGTGTGTGTGTGTGTGCATGCGTGTGCACATTCCCAAAATTCCAGAGGAGAGGAGACTGAAGTGTGACGAACCCCCTGGAGGGTGATTTCTCACTTTCTTTCTCAGTGTCTCTGGTGAGCACACATGCCCTATAGTAAAAACCTCAAAAAGAAAAAAATACACACACACACACACACACACACACACACACTGATATATTTTAAGAACATTTGTAACATCGTGAGGTCCTCTAAATAATCTTAGTAGTAGTAAAAACTTTATTCATCTTTTTTACAAAAAGTATTTTTTCCCTGTAATGTGCTGGGTACTTTGCTACTAACTAGGGCCAACGCTAGGTATTATACAGGGAAAGAAAGGGAACTATAAGCCTCCATCGAGATGACCCATTTGATCAAGTGGATTTGGTATATGAGAGTTTGTCATTAAGGACACAGTGGCATGCCCCTGGCCCTCAGAAAAACATTATCAACACTACTGAGTAAATCCACAGAAGAGTAACCACAAGTTTACAGTATACAGCGAAGACTGTGAAAGCGGCAAACCGTGACTAAAACTAATCTGCTCAATGGCTTGCACATTTTGTTACTGTCGCTACAGGCAGGACAGTTAAACCTAGATACACTTAGTTGTTGGAAAACAATAAAAAATAGTAAATCACAGGACAGACTGTTTTTCGTCAACAAAAAAAAAAAGAGAAGGGAAGAGTTTACTGTTCGTTTCCAGCAACAATTTGAATGTCTACTTTTTTGGGCCGGTAGCTGTGGCACAGCTAAACAGTGCCGTTATGAGGCTCATGGACCCCATGTGAGTCCTGGGTCTTGTCCAGGGTCTCCTTAAACACGCTGGGCACAGGCTGTGTGCCCAGCATCCAGGCGGCTGACGCAGGGGGTGGTCTGTAGTATGAAGACCTTTCTGAAGGTGCCTGTTTCTATTCTCATGGAAGAAATCAAATAAAATAAAACTTAAAAAAAAAAAAGTGTACTTATTATTTACGATTCAATTTAACCAGGAGTCAAAAGTGAAATTTAAATGAAAACAGTGGTAGTAAACAGTAAAGTTATTACCTTCAAGAGTGCTAGTTTACATTCAACGCTCATTTCAAGATAGCCCTTCTTCTCCATCTCCCATGCCCAGGTGCTGTTAAATTCTTGGCATATCTGTCAGAGAAAGTTATTGTCTTAATATACGAAAGCAGTTTTAATTTACATTGGCAGTCTAGTGAAAACAATTTTAATTTACACTGCAAGTCTAGTATGACTCTGATTAAGTGTTCTTGCTAATAGAAATTTATAAAGGAAAACATTTACACCAAACAGTCCAATCCAATTCTACCCTAAAATGTGTACTACTTAAACCCATCAGAAATGCTTAGTATTGTCTATTAACTGCATGTAAGGTAAGAAGTGCTGTCTGTAGTTCTCAAAAACTTTACATACATTTCTGGGGTACATTTTCCCACTTGAAAATAACTATTTGATTCCATCTTTCCAAACAGCAAGAAGTTCCTTAAAGGCAAGGATAATGGTTTATTCATCTTTTATACCTAAAACAGGAGGTTCAAAACACATTCCAAGTAGTACACATATTTAAAATCAAGCTTCCCTCTAATTCATTGTACTCCTATTTATGTGTGAAAAAAAATTCCATCATGTAGCCTTTGAGACCTTCTATAATATGGTTGTAATGCAAATGGCTAGGCCTCTCTTCATATGTAAGCATCTGAGGCAAACCAGAGCCACCATAATGGACTGAAGAAAGAAAATCTGAATAAACACTCTACTCAAGTCAGGGCAGGAAACTTCTCCCACCAGTAGTTCCTTGGATGAAGCCAACAGGGCAATCAACACTGAGAGATTCCATGGGTTCTATGAGTTCTATGAACCGTTTTTTGGTTTTTTTTTCCAGCAATGAGAGGGAACAGTAACAACATCGATCTTAAAGACTGTTAAGGAGGCATAAAAAATGATATAAAATGCCTAGCAATTTCATGCTCTTTTTGCAATTCAAGTAGCAAAGAGCATAATGAGGGCCAAGGGAGAAGAACCAGTACAAGGTAAGAGATTATTCTGGTGCAAGTACAGCTGGCTAGACAGGCAGGAAGAAGGAAAAGAAGCGCGCAAGTGGGGTGGCTTGTATGACCCTCAATCCAGAATAAGACCAGGATGGCACTTCCAGGATGGCTACCTTTTTTCTATATTGCAATACTGTCATGTTTTCTACCAATCTGTACAATAAAATCACATAAGATCAATATTAGCACAGAAAAAGAAGGACCAGCAAATGGTGTAACGGTTACATCACTGGACTCCCAGGTAGTCAACCACAGTTTGAGTCCCAGACCTGGCAGCTTAAAACTCACACTGGGCACGTGTGTGTGGGGGCCCTAAATCCTGAGAGGAGAATGGAGGAGAAGGAATTTCAGTGCGGCCCTCCCCCTTGGGGAGTGACTTCTCACTTTCTGTCTCTCTGAAGAGCACAGTCCCTATAGCAAAAAATCTCTCTTGAAAAATGTATGGCCGGCCCCCCGGCCCCGCGCCATGGCTGCAACCCGCGGCGGGACTTGCGCGGGCCCTCCCGGGCTCAGCGCGTTCCCCCGGGACCCGCGCCAAGGGGGCG